ATATATAATTATTATAAGTTTATTAAATAAATAATTTGGACCCACTTTATATTAAGTGTTTTAACTACTATGTACAAACATTTAAACTATTTAAATAATTTCCACTTACTGTTCACAAACATGGTTTTATTACACACAAACACCTGCATGTAATTAAATCTATAATTTCTATAATTACATCTACACTGCTGACCCTACCCCTACCCCTTAACCCACCCTTAACCATAACACAAGACCTGTTCCTAACCTTCACTGTAACCCACCTCACTAGCATCAAAAGCTATTTGCAATACAACATGAACCCAAGTATTTTTTAACCTAACAATTTTTTTAATGCAAGTCCATAGTAGTTAAAATAATCTAATATAAATTGGGACCAATATTGCATTTGTTAAAAAAAAGGTTACTGTTTGCAAATGAAACATACAGTCAATTAAAGAGTCAGTTCTTTAAATGAATCAGTCCAAAAGACTCAAACTATGAATCAGTTAAACCTGTTAATTCAGTAACTGCTATGGCATATTAAAACATGTGACTATAACACTCAGTAGCTGAATTCTGTAGGAAACACTGCATAGCATCATGGAACTAGAGCTGACATTTGATTGAACTCTTGTGTGTGTGCCCGTTTCATTTCACCAGATCAACAGCACATTTCCCAGTACGGAGTAGGGGTTGCACCGACTAATCGAATAGTCGACTTCAATGCTCTGCCATGACGCTTTAAGCTTGACGTCGACTAGTCGCTGGGTCCTAGAGGGCGCAACAGGATAAGAAATCTTTGAAGGACTTCCACATTTACGCTCCCTTTCCATACATTTCAAATGACAAATAAATGCATACTCTGAAAGCGCTCCACAAGACATGTGTGATTATATTACTGGATGCTTGAAATTGAACGGGAGAATGCACGTTTTAAACAGCTTATTGTACAGGTAAATGAATCGCCGTTCTAATCTAATGTGCTGCTGTACTGTAACGCACACACATAGGTTACAGACAGTAACGTACATCACACGCAATAGCTTAGAAACTGAAAAGTTCAAGCATATATTTCTTAACTAAATTCCACAGCTTCACTATTTAGTAGAGACACATTGCCAGGTAGAATTAATTCACACACGCAATCACTCTCACTAATGCATTCATATTAATGTAATCTTTACTGTGCTACTTTATCTGTATCTGATTTAGAATGAGCAGAAATCTGTGAGAAATATAACGACCCAAAGACAAAAGAACTGATAAAAAAAAAAAAAGCTGTTATATGAGCCATGTGGGCAGCGCTGTGTCATATGCCATATCTGTGCACAAGCTGTTTGTCACAGCTCCAGACTTATTTGTTCATTAATGACGTCATCAGCGACTAGTCGACTCATCACATAAAAGTCGACTTCAAAAAATCAGAAGTCGTTCAACCCCTAGTACGGAGCACTTCAAATATAAAACTTCTATTTAAGGAAAAACACACTGTCTATCTCAAAGCACACTTAGGCAGGAAATGACACCTGCCACCAGAGGCTCCAGTGAAACTGCTGTAGTGTCATAGTGCAGTTTAGAGATGACATCATTTCTTCCTGTGGCCCCCTCTCCTATACAGCCATCAGAGACATGAAACAGAACATACCAAAACACACCAAAGTAAACATTTAAAACATGAGGACTGTGTGAGGTGTGCTGAAAAGCCCAAAAATATAAGGGGCCACGGGTACCCATGAACACACATGTAACCCACTTGTACAAACACCCACAAAGGACAACCACACTGGGTCTTCAGTTTAAAACCGTGGCTCCATTTTCAACCCAACACATGCAGAGTAGAGGTCTGCAAGCCCGTCGGGTAACAATATATTGTTATATTGATTATATTATAAATATTATACATCGCCTACGCAACACGCAAAGCATATACGCACGCATTAGCATACAGGTGACAATTGACCATGCAGAGCACCAGGGAGAAGTTGGGAGCGTGGGGAGTTACTAAAAGTTCCCAATGCTTTGGGGAAAGCTGCATTTTGGAAGCGTTTTGATTTGATTACCACGGCAAACAGTGAGCCAATTGGTCATGTGCAGCGCAGAATCTGCAAACATATCCTTGCACATGACAAAAAACACACGCAATAAGCTAAAGCTTGCCACAAAGCCACAGAAAAAGTAATTACCATGAATGTGTCGGGGGGGGAAATAGTAAGGAGATATTTTAATTATTTATTAATAAATAAGTGTTTTCTGAGTCCGTGTCGCAAAGATGAAGATTCTGACTTGCCATCCCCTCATTAGACGCGCCTTTGAGTAGTGCATCTTTACGGATTTTATCATGAGTTTTTTTTTTATTTATTTTTTTTTTATTTAGTTTTAAAGTAGTAATTTAAAGCTTTCTATAGATATATTTAGCAAGTTTTTGAGGCAAGTATTCGCTGAATTTCGGTTCATCATTATGAAGCGCTCCTAGCCGAAATTGCAGAAAGTGCATCCTGTATGTATCCTTTATTTTCTAAAAGCACAACATTTTGTTGATATTGTGAGTGCACACAAATACAAGTAGACCCTTTACAGTTGATGTATTACTCTTACCTTTATGAGCAAAAATGACGGCATATTTTGAGTTGTTTCCAATGCAAGTGATCGCGCCGGCGCCTCCATGTCCTGTAAAGCTCACTTTAGCTCTCCGCACAAACGATTAGATATGCATTTAATAGCTCACATTTATATAGGTTAAACATTTAAACTAACATTGTGATATGCTTGAACTGTTTTATATCTATAGATTTTATCGTGATGATTTGAGAATTCGTGATGATTTAAGAAGCCTAAATTGATCAAACATAGGCTATCAGCTCACTGTCTGCCGCTGACCGCTTGGTCGTTATTTTAAAAAACAAAAACTTACATTTAACGAACAAAAAAATGCTCCAAACGTTTTTCTAAATTAACTTAATAAAAAAAACTATAGACCCTTTACAGTTGATGTATTACTCTTACCTTTATGAGCAAAAATGACGGCATATTTTGAGTTGTTTCCAATGCAAGTGATCGCGCCGGCGCCTCCATGTCCTGTAAAGCTCACTTTAGCTCTCCGCACAAACGATTAGATATGCATTTAATAGCTCACATTTATATAGGTTAAACATTTAAACTAACATTGTGATATGCTTGAACTGTTTTATATCTATAGATTTTATCGTGATGATTTGAGAATTCGTGATGATTTAAGAAGCCTAAATTGATCAAACATAGGCTATCAGCTCACTGTCTGCCGCTGACCGCTTGGTCGTTATTTTAAAAAACAAAAACTTACATTTAACGAACAAAAAAATGCTCCAAACGTTTTTCTAAATTAACTTAATAAAAAA